CTCAGCTCCGGCGAAGTTGTTGCGGTTGCCGGCCATTTTCTTTTGCTGTTGTTGTTGTTATGTGGAACTTGGAATAGAAGAAGATGGTGCTCAGTAAGAGGGATAACTAGGATATCAAATCTCGATTGCAGGCAGAGAATCACAAGGGTCAAACTTCTGGCCCACCTCGTCGGGGAAGAAGGAGGAAGAAGATGGGTCGTTAGGATTTTTTTGGGGAGCAGATCGATAACGAAAGAAGGCGAGGGGGATGGGTGCTCGTGTTTGGGTTATGATGAAAGAGTGCGACGGCGGCGGCGGCGGCGTCTTTAAACGACCGGCCGCCGCTGCATTTGAAGTCGGAGGGAATGGAGGCGGCGGCTCGTCGGGGAAGAAGGAGGAAGAAGATGGAATAGGGATTGATCGAAAAGGAAAGAAAGTGAGGGGATAAGGTGGGGATGGGTGGGCCAGATTTTTTTTTTTTAATTATTCAATTTTGTAAATGAAATAAAAAGAAAAATGAAATTGTAATTTTTTTATGTTGACATGACAGTGACCTGGACAGTTGACTTACAGTCAACGGTGTTGACCGTTCAAACAAACGGTCAAACCACGCTCCAGGCCAATTTTGTCTATATGCTGCATAGATCGGGTCAGGATGTTAATTTCTCAAACCACTGGCCAAAGTTGATTACATGGTCATAGTTCAGGCCATAACAAGGTATAACCCTTTTTATATAGGACTCTCTGATTTGAAAGTTGCTTGAAAGTATCCGCTAGTCAAACATCATTTCTAAGGTTTTAGTTTTTAGGGAGGAATTTCACTTTTAGAATTTAGGCCAAATACACTGGTATAGCCAAAATTTTGATAGTTTTGCCAAATATAGTCACGTTTGGCGAAATACCAAATATAGCCAGAATTTTGAAAGTTTCATGACAAATATACCCATTTTCTTTACATATTTTAACGGCGTCAGTGACACCGTTAGTCAAACTAACAGAATGCTTGCTTGGCTGCCAACTCAACGGACATATCATCGACAACTCAACAACACTTGTCACATGAATGTCATGTCATATTTTAATTTAAAAATAAATACAAAAATCATACAAATACAAAAATCAATCCTTCCCTTCATCTCCATCGACCCCACCCCAATCACTACCACTACCCCAAATCGCCGTCGTTGCTCATGTCCGTCATTACTCCCAATCTCTCTTGTTTGTTAAGTTTATGTACGTGGGAAATACATAGCCTTTTATTTTTTTCATAACCTTTTAATATATTTTTAAAATCAACGTGGAAAATACATATAGGACGAAAATCGCCCCGTCGGACAATCCTTTAGTCCAGTCAGCACGTTAACTAACACCGTCAAATAATTGGACGAAAGTGGCTATTTTTGGTATTTCGCCAAAAATGACTATATTTAACAAAACCGTCAAAGTTTTGGCTACACACGTGTATTTGAGTATTTGACCCACAATTTATACAACTGGTTTTTGCTCTTGAAGTTCTAATTCACGAATTCACATTATCGCAAAGCCCAAAAAGGTAAAACATCATTGAACATGAGCACTAAAATGGGTTGTGACTTGATTCAACCTGAATTAGATTCAAATATAGTATCAAAGGCTCCACAATTGAAGCAACTTCTTATTCAGCTTAAGTCACTAACCAACCAACTATTCTCATCTAGTTACCTTGTCCTCTAAAACAACTTGTATGTAAGAAGAAAATGAAAGAGAGAATTTAATAAGTGAATCTATTTTCATATACAAACAGTAAATTAAAATGGCCGTGGAGGAAAACTGACTTTGATAATAGTAGTTATATTTTAAAATTAAAATTTCTGCAAAAGCTTGCACCTGAGTTCTCGCAAAATTCAATTATGTCGCATAGCTGCATGGTTACCACGTACGACTCAGTTTTGCAAAAACTCGAGCCTACGCGTGGCAGCCATGCAGCTATGTGAACTACTTTCATGTTCTGGTAATAGTTGATTAGTTGTATATTACACGTGGCCTAAGAACATCATGATGTGAGGAACACATAGGGGAAAAAAAAAGACCAAGGAACCTTTAAACGTGGTCGTCATGCCAAATCTTCGGTTGTCACCTATTAAAGCGTTACCATTTTAATGGAAAGAAACAAAATCAAAGCAATATGAATGATTTCATTGAATTAAACTGCCTCAAATAGAAAAAAAATTAATATACACGTATCTATATCATTAATATCCTACCAAAAGTTATATAATGTATTTAATGTTAGCATGGATTTCCACTATATACGAGTGAAGAATTACTGTGTAGGGACAGGACATAAACAAATCTGAAATTTTATATCAAACCGTCGAAAAAGAGGCACATCCTAGTTTGGGAGAATAAATTTCTTCGCAGAAACTCCGATGGCAAGCAGTTTAGTTGCAGCCGTGATGGTGGTGCTGTTGGTGGTGGCTAGTCGACCGGACGCTGCTTCGGCAAACGATTTCGTGCGCTGCTACGATGACTGCATGGATCATTGTAAAGGATTCGGAGAAATGTGTGTACAAGTGTGCAGTGGTGTAGCCAGGATTTTGGGTAAGGGGGTGCCAATTTAAAAAAATTAAAATGACTATTAAGTTTTTATAGTGACCCACGACGATTTTTCATATTTTGAAAAGTCTGTAAAATACTTTCATCATTTAGACTATCAACAATGTCACTCTCAATGTATCCTACCAAAAAATCATTCATGAGATAATCACTCATTCTACTCCGAAGAGTGTTCTTCACGTAGTTCATTGTCGAAAATACTCTTTCAACACTTGCAATGGCGACTGGTAGAAGCAATGCTAACTTCACAAGAAGATACATAGATGGAAATCCCAGATGAAGGGTGGGACTGGGTCTGGGAGAAGTCTTGCTTGTTAGGGCTGAAGTTCCGATTATTGCTTGAATAAGGATACAACTATATATTTTTTAATTTGATTTATTTATTATTTGCAACGGTAAATTAATTATATACATGCAATAAAATGTATTGGTGTATCACATAAGTAATTGTGATTTAATGGAAGACGCCAAAACTAATAATAAGGGGGTTTCATGTTCAAATCCTAGTTATAGCATAAACTAATACCCCTATTTTTTGATGTCCTAGTTCTAATCCAAGGGTGCCTAATTATACTAGCTTGTACCCCGGGCCGTTGGCCGGTTGCAATATGATAACAATAATTAACAAAGTTTCAAAGTTCAAATTTAAACGATTTACTCTTTTCTTATATTCTTGCCATAATTATATATAATATTATGCGAATTAATAAATAATGATATCAATTTTCAAAAATAGATAGCAAGGTTGTTTCCTATATTTACCACTAATAACGTAAAAAAAAATATAGATAATATTGATATAGTATATTATTATAAGAAAGTCAAAATATTCCATTTTTGAAAATGAACATCCATTAGAACGACTACTAACATTTGCCTTATATGTTGATTTTTGTTGAAATTCAAAATCCAAGACTTATGCAAGGGTATATTAACTCATATAAACTTATTGATACGATATTATAGGTATTCCAAAGTAACTGGTATCATTATTTTATCGTCAAGAATCTTATTCATTAACACCATTGTCTTCATTAACAATATGCGCTTTTTATTTTTGCATCATATTTGTAAAATTAAATTTTCATGACATTTTACATCATTTAAGTAAAATTGTTGTGGCGACATGGGGACATAAAAAGGGGGATCCTATCAACTTGTTCCGACCTAGGATAATAAGCTCATGAGCTTGGTCTTACTTCACCGTCGAGAAACGAAAGAAGACTTCCGTTTTTTGGGTGTGAAGCAGTGTCAAACCAAAATACCCAACAAGCATTACCTCTCCCTGAAAAGGAGGTGATCCAGCCATTCGCTTCTGGATAAAAGACCCCGCTTGTTTGCATTTATTACGACTCTTTTTTCACGAGTATTGGAATTACTCAGCTTTGCTGACTATAGTATAATTATAGGATAACAATGCAAGTGATATGACCAAGTCATAGCTTGAACTACTATGAGCTATTATGTAAAAATGCAGCTAAGATATCCCAGGTAGGTTAACAATACACAGGTCACAAATCCCGTATAATAGTTTCCAAGGAGAAAATATTATATTATAAAATATTATAAAATTCTACAATTTATTTTTCGTTGAATTAAATTACACAGTTACAGTGGCCTGCAGGTGCAGGAGCCAAAAATGAAAAAACGGGAGCCCAAGTGATATGCCATTATGTCCTATGGACCGAGAATTAGGGGAGGAAAAGACAAAAACACCCTTCCTTGCTTTGCGGGGAGAGCAGGGAAATCTAAATTGCGTAGCTCCTCACCAAGAACGTACTTATATATGTGGGAGGAAGCTGTCTCCGCCCCTGCAAGTGTGCACGACCCAGTGCAGCGGACGAGAATCACAAGACGACCATCATTCTTCTCAAAAGATTCAAGCTAAAGACTACACAAAAACGACCACTAACGTTGGAGAATCCCATGGATAGATTATTTGCTAAATATATATTTACTTGTTCTTTTTTCATTTTGCATGTCCAAGCGCGATATTAATAATCACAATAAGAGGTTTAATAATAATGTGTGCAATTAGTGTTCGCTCTCCTCCTCTTTTGATTGAATTATTATAGGCTTAATTGCAAGTTTGGTCATCCGAATTGCTTAAAAATTTCACGTTTGCCACCCGAATTGATTTATTCCATTTATAGTCACTCGAATTAGTTGAACAGTCCAAGTTCGGTCACTCTCCGTTAACCTCCGTTAGACTCCGTTAATGACGACCGTTAAGTGATGACGTGGCTAACAGAAAGACACAGTCAGCACATTTAAACATTAAAAAACGACGACCCGACCCGACCCGCCAGCTCACCCTTACCCGCCCAGTCAGCCATTCTTGCCCAAAACCGCGAACCAACCCAATTAATTGACCCTAAACCCAAACCCGAGACCCAACCCCCCCTGAATTGTAAATCGCAGACGACAACAATTTATTCCTTTTCCCCCTTTCCCTTCTGTTCCTCCCTGTACTCTCAATCTCTCCATCTTCAGCCTCCGATTGATGACAACGAAGCCTCTCTGGAAGACGGACACCAACACCGGAAAGGTCAGGAGGGTAGAGCTCCGGCGAGCCAAAGGAGCGGTTACTTGAACGCCGATCCGTTTCAGTCTCTCTCGGATCTTCTCTCATCTCTATCTTTGGTGAACTTTACCTTCTTTATTTTTTGGTCGTCTGAAAAAAAAAAATAGAAGCGAAGGATAAGGCTACCTTCCTGACTATCACATGGATATCCATGTCGGTCCTACATTCACCATCGACATTTCGCCTCCTCAGGCGGCGGCGGCGGCTTACTCCCTCTCCCAGCCGGAGACCCAGCGGTTATTTCTGAAGCATAGGGTTTCGTTCGTTGTGGAGGGAGAAGAAGACGAGGATGGGTTAGTGGGTTCGATCTCGATATCCAACCGCAGTCGTTTTGGCCTTCCGATGGCTAGATCTGGGAAATCGCTCGAAGATTCTTCCGATCGCTCGTCTTCATCCGTCGGCGCTCCCGACGACAGCGACGAGGAAGACGACGGAGAGAGCAATAGCAGCAACGGTGCCTCATCGTCTATGAAGAAAGGCCTCGGCTCTCTCGGCTCCATTGACGCCCTGGAGGACTCTCTCCCCCCAAAGTGAGTTTGTGCTCCTGCTCGATTTGGATTCGGATCTCTCTACTACCCGATTATTAATTGGGGGGGGGGGGGTGATTTGATTTCTCAAAATTGCAGGAAGGGATTGTCGAATTACTTCGCCGGGAAATCGAAGTCGTTCGCGAGCTTGTCCGATGCGTGCTTGGCGGTGAGCCAAGCGAAGGATCTGGAGAAGCCGGAGCACCCGTTCAACAAGCGGAGGAGAATTCTGATGGCGAACAAGTGGTCGAGGAGATCGTCGTTCTACAGCTGGCATAACCCTAAATCCATGCCGCTGCTCACCTTGAACGAAGACGACGACGAAAGCGGCGACCACAAGGGGGAATGAAGAAGACGACGAAGAGGAAGAAGACCGCCGTGAAAGCCTCTCGTCGTCCTCGTCGTCGGATAAGGATGAAGAGGATGGGAGACGAGCGCAGATGGAGAGAACGAGTTGTTGTCGTCTGTGATTTACAATTCAGGGGGGGTTGGGTCTCGGGTTTGGGTTTAGGGTCAATTAATTGGGTTGGTTCGGGGGTTTGGGCAAGAATGGCTGACTGGGCGGGTAAGGGTGAGCTGGCGGGTCGGGTCGGGTCGTCGTTTTTTAATGTTTAAATGTGCTGACTGTGTCTTTCTGTTAGCCACGTCATCACTTAACGGTCGTCATTAACGGAGTCTAACGGAGGTTAACGGAGAGTGACCGAACTTGGACTGTTCAACTAATTCGAGTGACTATAAATGGAATAAATCAATTCGGGTGGAAAACGTGAAATTTTTAAGCAATTCGGATGACCAAACTTGCAATTAAGCCAATTATTATATGATTAGATATACTAGAATATTTTTCTTCTCGCAAACATAGTGCTAATGCATACCTTCAAATAATGTATTTTCAAATTGGTTCATTTATCTAAACAACACATCTAATTGGAATATATAAATTAATTATTTAAATAATCCCAACTTTCAAATATGGCATGAATCTCCTCTTTTCATGGGAGAGTTTTCACAATGCTCCGAGGTATTTCATCGACTCCGAATTCGTCTTCTAAAAAAATTGAAATAATAATAGTTGTGTTCTTACGCGTGTTCTAATAAAATTAGGATATGAGGTATATGTATAAAGGACCAAGGAACCTCCATACGTAGCGCTGTAAATGAGCAGAGCTGAACCGAGTTTTACTCCAGGTTGAGCTTGATTCGTTAACAAATGAGTTTAGCTCGAGCTCGAGCCATTTATTAACGAGCCTAGTCTAGTCAAGTTCGAGCTAGGCTTGTTTACTAAATTCTTAGATCATATTTGATACATTCATTTTGTATGTCGTGTATGGTACATGACTATGTGATTGATGTAACCATAAAAAAATAATCAAATGTTCAACATTAATTAATCTTATATTATAATTTATAGGTGTCATATTGTTTAGTTAATAAATTTTAACTAGTTCAAATCATGTTATTTCTTAGTATCGAAACAATTTTGTACATAATTTCTTTATATAATTAAAAATAAGGCATATTTTCTTACAAGTTCAACATGTTAAACTTCACATGATGTGAGATATATAATTTAACAATCCTATGAATTATGAAAGTCCAAATTAAATCGATTCGTCCATAAGTCGGTGATCAAGTTGGCTCTCAAACCACAATGTTGAGACATCTCATGAGCTCTAAATGAGCCAACTCATGAGTTGAGCTCAACAAGCCACCGAGTAGAGCTAGCTCGCGAGCTTCACGAGCTGAACAAAGCTAAGCTCAAGCGTGGCTCGTTAGTAAACGAGTCGAGTTTCGAACGAGTTTTTCCCGATTCAAGCCTCGAGTTGCTCGCGAGTAGCTCGGCTAATTTGCAGCCCTATCCATGCGTGGTTCTCATGCAGATTTCTGGTTGTCACCTAATGACACAAAATTACGGTATTACCCTCTAATCCAAGGAAACAAAATTAAAGAAATATGATTAATTTTCTGAAACAGCCTCAAATAGAAAATAAATACAATACATGTATCTATATTTTGTTTGTAGAAATATTATTAATTTCTTACCAAGAGTAATATAATTTTATTTAGTGAATAATTTTTGAAACAACCTCAATTAGGAAATAAATAATATACATGTGTCTATATTATTAACTTCTTACCAAAAGTATATTTTCTATTTAATGCATATTATCACAGGTTTCCCGTTTCCCCCTATATAATACTGAAAAGAACTGTAGCGATGGACATAACCTCTAAAGAACGCATATCAAACCAGGGACGATAAAGTTTCTAGGCAGAAGCTCCGATGGCAAGAACTTTCGTTGCAATATTGATGGTGGTGTTGTTGCTGGTGGCTAATCGGCCGAATGCTGCTTCAACAAATGATTTTATCAGCTGCTACAATGACTGCATGGATCATTGTCATAGTGCTGGAGAAACTTGTGTAGACCTGTGCACGACCCAATGCAAAGGAAAAGAATCCCTAGACCATCGTTCTTCCCAACAGATTCAAGGTGCAGAAGACTACACAAAAACAAACAGTGAAGTTGGGGAATCCCATGGGTAGATTATTAGCTAGATATTATATTTACTTGTATCTGTCAAATTTCCTGTTCAAAAGTGCAAAATTAATAATAAAAATAAGAAGAATGTCTGCAATTAGTGTGTTAGCTCTCGAGTTGTTTCGATGAAATAATATGATTAGATATACTTTGAATAATGATGATCTTATCCCAAGCATGAAGCATATAGCTTGTCCGCAGTAGCAATCTGATATGAAATAATTAAGAACTTAACGAGTGATCATCATCAAAGCTAGCACATCATCAGAACTGAGCACTATATAAGTTTTGCTGTGTAATTTTGGAATAATGGAAATGGGTTGTAAAATGGTATTGGAGGTTGTACCAAAAAATTAATCGGTATGATATTTTGTACTGAAATTATGATTTAATCGTCGTCCGATTGTTTCATAGCTAGCGTTAAAACTGCCTATCAATTAGAAATCGGTATGAGATATTTTCAATTAAACTACTGGTATGGTAATATGGTTTGACAAGTACTGGAAACATGCCCCATGCAGCGTCATTAATTAACAGTTAGCTGTTATTACTGTGCATGACTTAGATTGAGGTTGATTTTAAAGGGGCTGGAAAACAGTAGCTACTTGGGATCCAATGGGAGGGAGGAGTGGCGGCCAGCGTACGGGATGGGTAATAGTACTATGAGCAAAATTTCAAATAAAAATATAATGAAAAATGATTGTATAGTGATACAATATATAGCTGCTGCAATTCATATCGTTACAACCATAATCTAAATAAATTTGTTGCAGGGTGACATAATTTCTTTAATGATTTTGTAAAAAAATAAGTCTTTCTTCTTGGGCATGAATCCTAAAACTGACTTTTTTTCATTTTTCTACCCCACCCACATTGGATAAATCTTACTGATAGGTAGTTGATTATATTCAGTTTAGACCATTACTAGTCAGATTATTAATGGTAGTTTTGTAGTAAAAAACTCAATGTCTATATATCTGTCTACTTATTATTAAAGTGCAAAAGAGGAAAAATCTTCCTCATTTCAATTTATCGCCATATGAGTAATTTTATGAAGGTGTTTTTGGAATTGCATTTTTTGTACCGCTGTTAAAATCATACAAGTCCGGCAGTCCGTTTGACTGAAAAATGATGGTCCAAGCCACACATATTCAGTTCAGACTTCAGACAGGCTATCGGATGAGTGATGATGACCAATATGTAAGGAAGTGGTTAAGCACCATACACGAACCTGTATAAGATCCAGCATAACCTTCTCTCAACAACTCGAGTTATTGGGACCAACTGGTTCATGACATGGTATCAGAGCTGGTTTGTCCTTGAGGTCACGTGTTCAAGTCTTCACGAACTCCAATATTAACCGTTGTCTTTCAAGCACATGGTAGGGTTGGGCATGTGCAAACTTCAAGCCCATGAGTCGGCTTTCGTTTGAGGGGCGTGTAAGGAAGTGGTTAAGCACCATATACGGGCCTGTATAAGATTCAGCATAACCTTCTCCCAACAACTCGAGTTATTGGGACCAACTGGTTCATCAACTGTTGGGTTTCATCATCTTTCATCTCAAACCATGACATTTAGAAACCAACGACCAATCACCCTCCGTCAAAATACCACTAATACTTAAAAATTCTCTATTCTAGTATAATTTGCAAATGTTCTTGCAAGATGATAAAAAAAAAAAAAAAAACTCGGGACAACATTTTGTTTACACTCGAGAGTCAAATCGAATTGATATTTGAATTACTTTACACGTACGCGCGTTCTATAAATTCGATCTTCTTTTATTCCATGAAAGCTTTAATTAAAAACGACAAACAAAATTAACCTCAGCCAGCCACATATAAAAATAGGAATCAAAGAAGGTTCTTATTGCTCCTTAATTATAAGCATATATGTATATTCTCCGATATTGTTTTCTAATGAAAACATGGAGATCGAGCCAGCTTAATAATACTAATATTACAATACAGTATAGACCACTACATGGAACTTAGACGATATTGTTTTCTTTGAGTCCTTCCTCGCATACAGACCGACCGACCTACCCAAATTCAATTCAAGGACAGAAAATAACCCTATAATCAGTCCCAGAAGGACAAGTAAAAGTGCTGGTCGGGTCATCTTTAGGGTAACTATAAGCATCAGGGCACCTCTCCTTGAAAAACCTCGAATAATCCGTGGGCCCACAATTCGCACCCGAGTTATTACAACAGAACTCCTCCCTCTTCAGCTGCGGGCACGCGCCGTTACAGCCGCCCTCCACCTTCAGCTCGTTGGGGCACTGCTCCACAATGTTCCCTCCTCCGCACTTTATCACGCGCCCGCAGTTCCCGGACGCCGAGCTGAACTCCATCGGCACGTTGAACCCGTCGATGACCGACACGTCGATGAAGTCGAGGTCCTGGAACTGCTTCAGCGCGTACTCCGCCAGCGTGTTGGGGGCCGCGCCGTAGCCCTTGCAGTCGAGGACCCCGCCGCAGTCGCCCGTCTGGCACGTGCCACGTCCTGCCCCGTCGAACTGGCAGTCGGTCCGGGCCCATATGCGGGCTGCGGAGGTGCCCGGTGGGGGCGTCGATGGTCCACGTCTCGCCCGAGTTGAGCTGGCGGCCTCCGCCCACGGGGACGGAGGCGGCCCAGACCGTGTACGGGCACTTGTTTGTTATGTCGAATTTTGCAGCGTCGGCATGACGAACAAGTGCGAGAGCGAGGAGGAGGAGGGAGATGGGTTTGATCAGGGAAGCTGCAGCCATTGTGGGAATGGAATTGTTGATGAATGGAGGGATTTGTTGGTGTTTTTTTGTAGATGGGAAGTGAAGTGAATATAGGAAGGGTTTATATATATAGTAGTTTGGAGTGACGAGAAATGCAATTTGGTCGTGTGGAAATTTTTTGGGATGTGGAAAATAATCAAGCTATCTAAAGATATGAAGAGCTCTCGATCGAGTCTCCGCTTCAAGTTAATTTCCCGCAAATTTTATGACTAACATGCAGGGATGCATGGCATGTTACGTGTGTAGAAAAGTATCAGGGGACACGTCGTAGGGCCTGCAGGTTAAATATGAAACTGGTCATTGAATTACAGTTATTGTAACGGATTATCACCAAAGTAACGAGTTTTAACAAAAAGATAAATATTCATACAAAGAGTACAGTTCTATTATTTCGTGGAATTTACTATCGGATTTGTTGGATTATTATGTGTGACCAACTTGTCCTGATATTGTCACACACACAAAAAAAACTATTTAGTTTTACCTTATGTACGCCAACGTTAATGCACTTCCTCATAGTTTGGGAAGTCGCATTCGCAGGTTAACTACATCACAAGTCGGGAACTAATTAAGGGAGCGTATGTGTCAACTTGGAAATGATTTGATCCTATAGACCATGTAGTTGAATCTGTTGCATAGATATCGCATAATTGTGTTGCATTCTTGATTATAAAGTTGTAATTTTAGTTAAGTGACCATGTTGTCATGGATTTTATAGTCTGTTAATTACCTTTTAGATGTTTAACCCATGTTAGGCAGTTCTGAGTCGTGACTGGACTTGACTGGCTATATATAGGGCCAAAGAAATGAATGAAATGGGGCGGCTTTGCCAAATTTTCTACCGGAGGTTAGACATTCTTTTCGTTTGGAAAGTCTTAAATGGTGAATAGTGGGATATATAGCAGATCTAGAACATCAACATGGTTGGAAAAGCATATTCCGCAGATATCGGAGTGGACTAGTAAACTTTACTCCAAACCAAGCAATAAGTTGCCATTTGAAGCAGACACCTACATGTGGAAGACGACTAATATTGGAAAAATGTGTCGGTGAATGATATTGGCCAAGTTCGTTTTGTTTTGGCTTATGCACCTTTTTTTTTAGCTTCGGTAAAAATTTGTTAAAACGGTTTTTTGGATGCAAAATGGTAGCAATATATGGAGGAGAAGATGGGTAATGTAATTTGCTTGATAACTAATAAAAGATTGGGGTTTTCAAAATTATCATGGGTATAAGTTTGAGAAGGGATCCTTATTTTTAAATGACAAAGATGAAAATAAATTATATTCGAATGACCTTTAGCTTTTAAGAATTCATGGTATCGATGCATCGTTAATATTTTGTTCTAATAGAGTGAACTCATGATTTTAAATTTGTGTTGGATTCGACTTTTAAGAGACTCACATATGCTTGTACTAGCTTCACTTTCTTAGCCGTGTGTTCGTTACCTCCTAAGAAAACAAACTATTGGAATATTTCCAATTCTAGTCCTTTTCCCTTGTACAAAACTCCAAAAACTGGGAGGTCATTCAGTTATTGCACATAGTTCACAGGTTTTACTTATTTTATGTATACTTAAAAAGTCAATAAATTAAGGCACCACTAATTATTTGATAATTATTCTGTTACTTAAAAATAAATAATTCTGTCACACTTTGACCTGCTTGGATCTAGCTTGCCTAATGATGGGTCACCCGTTACCTTTCCTTGTTTTATCTTAAGGCCCAATGGGCTGGACTGCCTGAACGTTCCCAAATTCGTTGTCTAAGCCCAGTTAAGGAAACACGGCCCGGCCAACAGAACGACCTTAGCCCGCGGAGTTTTTGGTCAAACAGTCAAAAGACCAATTTAGCGTCGACGGGAAGCTTCATTTCTTCATAACTTCCCCAGGAAGCCAACTTCCAACGGACGCTTAAAAGTTGAAACGAAACCCAGGCTGTCACTCTAATGCTCTAGCTCTTCACTCACTTCCTTTTACCGCTCCCATAGCCACGAATTCCACAATCCCATCCGGATTCCCTGAACACAGCGCTTGGATTTGTTCGTTCAGCTGTTTCCTGTTTGTGGAGAGTTACTACCGAAGGGATTTGAACCTGGTACCTCCAGGTTTATGGCTAGTGGTATTACAACTAGACCAATCCCTTGTTCATAAGGTACTTTACCTTTTCGTCTGCTTGGGATCTGGAAGTCAGTAGTACTAACTACACTGAAATGGATTCATTGCTTATTTTGATTGATGGAATGATGTTTTGTTGTGATAACGGATCCTTTGAGTTTGTGTCGCTGTTTTGTAACTGTTGCTTGGATTTTTTTTTTTTTAATTCAAGTTCCGTCATTTTCATTTCACCCCTGTTTGGTTCCTGAGAAAATGAAGTCAGATCGTGCAAATCAAATTGTTGAGAAAAAGGTTATGCTGGATCTTATACGCACTCTAACACCAACTACATGTCCTTGTACAGCAGAAAGCCCGAGTCTTGACATAGCACAGTCTCATTTTCAGAAGAAACTTTGTTTCCGTAGCTAAAAGACTAGGAAAAGGATAGCTTTCAGTTCTGCTGTAGTTGCGATGGAGGAGAACAGTTCAAGAGAATTGTTTCCCCTTCAGACTTCCCCTTCAGAGCACTATGTTCTTCCTTCAACTGAATCTCCACCAAGCCACATGGAAAGCCATGTGCTTGGTTTTCTAGATATGAACATACCAGTACCTACAAGTACAACACCAGATTTGACTGCGTTAGCCGAAGAACTCAGTAAGAAGAATGGTGGAGAAGGTGAACAGGTAAATGAACAAATTCCAAGTGTGGCTGGTTTTGCCCCAAGAAGCCATTCCCAGGGAAGCTCTGCTGTTCTTAGCCCGGAAACGATATTGAGGAATTCAGCAAAGACATTCAGAAACCTGCCTTCCATCATAAGGAGGAGAAGCTCGATTGACCAGGAATGAGACTTCTGCTGCAACGGCCACAAGCAGTGGTTCAGGAGTTACCAGCTGCTGCTGCAGCAACAGCAGCTTGCTGTAAGGGCAGCAAGGAATCTTTTCCTTGTTTCACAAGTCATATCCTGTATTTGCCACTGAATCCCTATCATTGTTGTGGGGCTGTTGATTTTGTCGTCAGGAAATTTGTTTGTAAGCTTTTGGGTCTGTGGTGGGATGGATGTGTGTACACTACGGAACTGAAACGTGTAGGAGTAGAAAATAGCTTTCTGTGGTGGGAATGAGTTTGTCAGGTGAGGTTCACATCCGATTTCCAGATGAAGGATAATGGGAATCATAATTGCAGGGAATCGATGGTGTCACTTTCATTTCAGGGGATGCAAGAGCCATAAAGGGGACGAGATGTCTGAACTGTTCTGGATTTGGACATGAGTCCGATTCTTGCTTATCATGTAATCTCCAGTACATAACTTTCCGTGTCTGATGATCCCAATCTTTCTTCATGAATCATTTTCCTAATCTTGTATTTTATGATTTGAAATAATGGTAACAACAATTTTGTATATTCAAAATAACTTTACACAAAGGTTTCAAATCGGAACTTATGCGGTAAAAGCATTTTTTACCTTTTTCGAAAAACCAGACTTGTAAATGTGTTGGGGCAAGTTTCAACTTTTGAAAGAAAAACATTTTTAAAGGTCAAACTAAACCTAGGCTAGCTATGGTGCATTAACATGACAACTCATGTATGTCTATTCAAACCAAGGTTGTTAAATCCCTATCGAACCCCCGGTTGAACTCTGTCCGATTCGAGTCGAGCTTTAAAATGACCTCAAAAAAGCCCCCTGGTCTTACCCCTAAAGCGAGAGAAGAAGAGAGGGAAAGCGAGGAAGAAGAACAAAGGAAAGGAGATGTGGGTGGGTCATGAATGTTAGGTAGATTTATTTTGTGGAAAATAAGTTTTTAATAGATATATGTAAGATAAATTTTATTTCAGTCATTAAATCTTTAATTACTACCTTATTTGTACATATATTTAGAAAACGTCTAAAACGACTCAAACCGACCGGACCCCGATCAAACCATTAAAGCTCAAACCTCTTGGTTGACCGGCTCAATCACTTAAACCGATTTGACAACCTTATTCAAACCTATCTATATATTAACAGGGCTAAGCCATCAGACATCATGTATGTCTATTCAAACCGACAACTCATGGTATCATATCATTTCGTATCTTGGTGGAGGTGGAGGATGGGCAAAAATTGGTGCAAAAATGGATATGGTGGCGGGAAATGGGAATGGGTCGTTACCTCCTCCATTCATTTCACCATATTGGGGTAGCACATCACATGTGTGTTGGGCATACAAATCCGCCCCATCAATGATCAATCCAATCCGAAGATCATTTATATATTCGGTGCACCCACTTTTTGGGTGCACTCAATGCACCCACTTCATAATAGTCATTCTGAGCATGTGATTCATATCAAAACGTTATCAATTGTTGCTTATGATCTTATGAATAAGAAGTACATGAATTTGAAAAAAATCATTCAAAATTTACGTTAATTCAAAGAATTTATGATTTAGGGATTTAGGGTTTGGGTTTAGGTTTACAATTTGGGATTTTGGGTTGGGATTCAAAATTGAAGGTTAAGGGGTTAGGGTAATAGATTGATTTGTTATGATTCTATGTCATATCATCATATTAGATTGAGAGTACTAATTAAAATTGAAAATTTGAAGTATTATGGACACTTTTAGAGTAGCGCGCCGAAGTAGCTAGCCACCATATATATATATATATATATATATATATATATATATATATATATATATGGGTCATTGATAAACGATAATAAAAAAAGTCACAAAAATTGGTCATAAGTAACTCCTTACCCATGAAAAATCAGTTTGTACCAACATCGATTAATTATCAAAAAATTTATTGATTTATAAGGTCAACTCAACATTAGTAATTAAATGAGGTAGTTGGGCCTTATTAGGTTGAGTTTTTGAGTCTAAGTGGCTAAATTCAACATTACTTGCCTAGTGGTTGGCCTCCACCCCTAGGTATGCAATATAACATCTAAAAACAAATAAAATTTGGAAGCAAGGCAGGCTTGGTAGGCGGTAGCTAGCCAACAGGGTACCAAGGGGCCAAACAACAGGGTACCAAGCTGGGAGGTCGGGTTTCGTACCAAGACATGAAATTGGCTAAGTATAGAGCCAAGAGGATACCAAGCCTAGTGGTTGGCCACCCCATAGCCCGAACAATGCCTCCACCCCTTGGTATGAAATATGGCATCTAAAAACAAATAAAATCTGGAAGCAAGGCAGGCTTGGTAGCTAGCCAACAGGGTACCAAGGGGCCAAACGACAGGGTACCAAGCTGGGAGGTTGGGTTTGGTACCAAAACATGAAATTGGCTAAGTATAGAGCTAAGAGGGTACCAAGGCGGCAAGGCATGCCTGGTACCCAAGTATGAAATTTGGCTAAATATGGAGCCAACGGGGTACCAAACAGACGAAAGAGGCTTGGTAGGCTGAGTGTACCAAGCCGGGAGGCAAGGTTTGGTACCAAGACATGAAATTGGTTAAGTATAAAACCAAGAGGGTGCCAAGGCAGCAAGGCAGACCTAGTACCCAAGCATGAAATTTGGCTAAGTATGGAGCTAACAAGGTACAAAGCAGGCAAGACAGACTTGGTATCAAGTTATCAAACCTCCCAAAAGCTAAGTATAGAGATCAAATTGGCAGGGTACCAACCCTATGAGGTGATGACAAGGTGGTCAGATGAGATGGGCACCTGATTGGGCACTAAGTAGCCATGGACCATCCTCACAGCCTCAAGATTAAGAATGAAATCTTAGGACTTGATGAGGACTTGTTGTAGAGCCCCTTTGGGGGGCATATGGAGACTACGTCCTAAGACGGGGCCCCAAGGCAATGGGGGTGAAGACCAAGACAACGATTACCAATTGGCCACCAAGGCGGCGACAATGGGTCCCTAAGGCGGGTGGAGCAACAGGCCGGCTAGCAGTTACCCCGGCAGCTACCAAGGCAGTTATACCTAGTGACTATAAATAGGAGAAATGAAGAAGAAGCAAGGGTTCCACAACCAAACATTTGACGCACAATGTCAAACTTTTTTTTTTCTTTGCAAATTAGCCATAGCTTTAGTTTTCGTAGCTCTCACTGAACCTCCATAGGAGTAGGTTAATTAACGTAGCTTGTTCCCAAAAATCCATCAAACACTCTCGTTCGAACATTGTTCGGAGTAGTGTGAACCGTGTTTAGAATCGTTGTTTAAGAAGTCAAAGTGCATTAATTGAGTTCAAACACCATATTTTTTCGCGCCAGAAAACAGTAGCAACAATATTTTGGAGGCAAAACTATTGGGAAATTTATTTTAATAAAATGATGTCAACCTATAAATAATAAAGGAAAATTTATCAATTAGTATGCATAGCAGTATTTGAGGAGCTCTTTAGGGAGTACCCTTTTTTAATGTTTGATTTGTTGACACGCAAAGCAATAGGCTAGTTCATTTCATTGTTAAGAAGATTTTTTATTTGTTTCCTGTACCAAATTGGTTTGATTTTTTGTAAGTAGCCCAAATTGGTGAATAGTGTACCTATAATTCCTTGATAATTTCATTGAACTTTCGGTTTTAAGAAAGTACTGACTTATGTCGCCAAATTTAAGAGTATGTAGGATTGGAGGGGGAAGTATATAGAAAAGACTTTTAAAAAAATGCCTATTTGGTTCTCAAATAGACTAATAAATTTGTTCCTGTGAATTGAAGATGGTCCAAAAGGAAGGGAAATAAAGTTAATCACTCCCTAATCCCTATCAGACACCCGTCCAATCCGAGCATAAATCCGGGCTGCTCCACAAAATTCTCGGCTTAGCCACCCAAGTCAGCAAATGGATAATTGGCAAAAGAAAAAGGAACAAAGCAACTGAATCAAGCAAACCGGTCACATGATGCAAGCAGGATGGATCCTTATCTCCATTTCCAAACAATCTCTCTAGTTGTTCCAACTGCTCAAAAGGAAAAGGCAGAAACGGCCTCATTATTTTGGATAACATTAGTAGGATTACTTGTTTGAGTCGGTTTTGATCAACCATATCATCAATACTGAAAATTATTGATGAATTTGATTATTTTATCGAACTATAGCTATTATTCATGAATTAGATCGATTATTCATCGAAGAACCGAATTTATTGTATTTGTATGTTTGAGTCGGAAAAAAATATTAATTGTCATGTTATTGAACCCGAGCATAGTATAGTTGTTAGATATGCAATTTGACAATAAAAAATGACTAAACAATAACATATACTTACACATAATCAGTTGAGCAATAAAACTGTATTAAATTAAAAAAGAACGATTATGTGTAAGTATATGTTATTGTTTAGTCATTAAATTAGAAATCCATTTATTTTGTCAAAAGATAAACAAAAATCGTTAGACCGTTCTTAGATGAACTTTTTTTTAGTTAAGCAACACAACTATGCTATTCCAAAAGCATGGGAAACGAGTCATTAAAATAGCATTATTTTTCTTTGATAATATCTCCAATTTACTCTCAACCAATTTTATGCAATATTTATGAGCTGGCTGTGGATAATGAAAAGAACGATTTTAAAAAAGATAATGAACAAACAAAATAAAAATTGAAAACCATAACAAAAACTGGAAAATAAAGAAAAACAACGGAAAATCGCGCCAAAGTTAACAGACAATATTTACCCGAAGGCCGAAACCTCTACAAAATCCAAACCATCTCGTCCCCTTGATTTCCTCGAGAAGCGAATCACTGATTGATTCTCAGTTTCTCAGTTTCACCCCAACAAAATCCAGAATCCGTACTGGAAACCAAAAATTGATTCTTTTTCCTCCTCCTCTGTATTACGACTCTTCCATTCCCACACACATCACTCCCAACCGCCTGCGTCAGCTTCAGTTCTTTCTCCCATCATTTCTTGATTCGCTCCCCATATCTGATATCTTCCCACCGTCACTATTATATCTCTCTGCGCTCTCATTTCTCTTCGTCTTCATAATTCGGCTCGCTGAATTCTCTTCACAATCTTCCATTCCTTTTGGGGTTTTTTATTTTTTTGGTTCTGATGAAGATGGAGGAGAAATTGGTTCTGGTCACCGGCGGCGCGGGATTCATCGGCACCCACACAGTGGTACAGCTGCTCAAAGAAGGTTTCAGAGTTTCCATCATCGACAATTTTGACAACTCCGTCAAAGAGGCTCTCGACAGGGTCAAAGAGGTCGTGGGTCCTGCCCTCGCTGCCAAAATCGAGTTCCATTTCGTGAGTTTTTCTTTCTTTTGGGTGATTCTTGTTTTCCGCATTTCATCCCTTTGTTTGGTTCCCTGGAATCTGGCGGAAAAAAAGAAATCTGGGTTTTGGTTCGATGCAGTAATGCATGTGCGCATAAGGTGTTTGTTCATTTTCCCTCCGCTGTTCTTTTGTTGTCTGTGTAGCTGAATTTTGATTTGTTTATGGTGGGGTCTTTTTTTTTCTTTTTACAGGTTGATCTGAGAAACAAGGATGATCTGGATAAGGTATTTGCCAAGTCAAAGTAAGTCAATTACTTTCTAAAATAGCTACAGTGGTTTTTTCTGATCCTGCCCATTGCAGTAAAGAGCTGTTCATTGCGCAAAAAAATGGAGTTTCTTTTGTTCTCAATCCTTTCAAATGTTTTTCAGATTTGATGGCGTGATCCATTTTGCGGGCAGAAAGGCTGTAGGGGAGAGCGTTGAATATCCTCGACGTTACTTTGACAACAATCTAATTGGAACTATTAACTTGTATGAGGTCATGGCAAAGTATAACTGCAAAAAGGTAGATCACCCAACTTCAGCATTTTGAATCTTCACAATTACTTGCCCTGATGAAGTGAATAACTTTGTGGATAATTTTCTTGACTAGATGGTGTTCTCTTCATCTTCCACGGTTTATGGCCAACCTGAGAAGGTACCTTGTGTGGAAGACACCGAGTTGAAGGCAATGAACCCTTATGGTAGAACTAAGGTTAGCATACATCCATTCCTAGTTTTACCGGTCATGTTAATACAAGGGGGATTGGGTTTTGCATGCGCTTCTTTCAAGTTGATATCTTTTGCTTTGGAAATGTCTAGCTTTTCCTAGAGGAGATTGCTCGAGATATCTCCCAAGCAGAACCAGACTGGCAGATCATATTGCTGAGGTACTTCAATCCTGTGGCAGCTCATGAGAGTGGCAAAATAGGTGAAGATCCAAAGGGCATTCCAAACAATCTTATGCCCTACATTCAGCAAGTGGCTGTTGGTAGGCTGCCCGAGCTTAATGTGTATGGTCATGATTATCCCACCCGGGATGGTACAGCGGTAAGGTTTTTTGGCTTGTAAAACCTTAACCATCGGATTGTAGATCGGCATTGTTTTTAGGCTTAGTGGATTACCCCTTTTTTTTCAACAGATACGGGACTATATACATGTGATGGACTTGGCAGATGGTCATATTGCTGCTCTTAAGAAGCTATTTACTCCCGATTTCAAAGGTGATCATATCAGTAGATCATATTTGCATTCCAAACGTTGATCATCTGATTCAGATCTTGAGAAGAAGAAACTTGTGTCCTCTTTCTACTTAGGTTGTGTTCCTTACAACTTGGGGACAGGGCGAGGAACATCTGTGCTTGAAATGGTTGCTGCATTTGAGAAGGCTTCTGGAAAGGTTATTGTTTCTTTCACTTTTAGTTTGTCCATTTGCTCCTATGTTTCCTCACGGTGAAGCAAAGACTGAGCTTAAAGTACTTCTGGTGTGAAACTTTGCTTCTTCAGAAAATCCCAATGAAGCTATGCCCAAGAAGAGCTGGAGATGCTACAGCTGTTTATGCTGCTGTTGACAAAGCTGCAAAAGAGCTTGGCTGGAAGTATGATCTTTTGACATCTTAAGCTACCTAACTACTTTTAATATGTTATCTTGAAATGGTTTAAGTATTGCTAGTTGAGAAACAGTTCAATATTGGATTTATGACTCCTGGAGCTATAATTGATGTGCTAATGGGTACTTCTATTTGTAACTTTTTTTCAGGGCAAAATATGGTATTGAGGAGATGTGCAGAGACCAATGGAATTGGGCCAGCAAGAACCCATGGGGTTACCAGGGAAAGAAAGCCTAGCTCCTCGAGCACCTGCAACCTTTACTTGCAAGTCAAAACTCCACCCAAGTATACTTTTAGACATCATATATCAAGGGCCATAAACAACTGCAAAGCAAGAGAAAAGCTCTGTTTTTATTTTGTTTCCCTAGATGATAGCCATTTCTTTATTTTCCAATAAATGTAGAAACTCGTGAATTTTATATTACAGTTTGTAATTGTGGTTAATACAAAATCGAAATTGTTCATCCATGCCTGTGTTGGATAGCCTCTTATTATCAAGCACATCTGAACTACCAGCATTCAGGCATAGCAAACATTAGTCGACTCGCAAGTTTTCTGGTCTGCAACATAAAGTCTTTCTATTATTGTTAAGGGTTAAACTCTTAGAAATCTGTTAATGGTTGCTGCATGTGGACCATAGTTTATTGCATAGAAATTTCTATGATGGACTAGTACAGAAGTGTTGACCTAAGCATCTCACCTTCCCCTTATCTTCCCATGGATTTATTTAACAAATTCAGCTTTAGATGATGTAAGGAGGGTTTGAGATTAACAACTTAACCATCGGTGTCATTATCATCGATCTTTATGCCTTTCTTTTAACAGGAGTGCGCTTTCTGTGAAACTGAACCTCCATGAACATACCAAGAAGGTTTTGGTAGTTGCAGGGTGAAGAAAATGAAGCAGGAAGGGACAAGAGGAGACCGTCTGACATCTGTTGGTAGCCCAGTTAGTAGATCAATGATGGCCGCTGGGTTTTCCCCCAACTCTGTAACTCAGCAACCGTCTCCATTTCCAACTCCTTCACCATTCTCTGTCCCACCATCCACCAGGTGGAGCTCTGCAGGGCCTCCACTCCACCTCTCGGTTCTCGTCCTAAGGTTCTTGGTGCTCCTATTCTCTTTCATCTCTGCAGTAGCACTGGCTTCTCCATCAGCAACCAAGGCTCATGATCATCATCATCTTCATCAGAATCTTCCTTTGAATTCAGAACTGGTGTAAGTCAAAAGAAAAAACAGGTTGCACAACTTAGAAAGCTAGATGCTTTTCTCTGTTAATCTTGGTGTGTTGTTTTGTTCTCTGTGTGTTTAACTCAGGTACTGCTTGATTGTGTCGGTTCTGGTCTTCGTCTACTCGGCTCTCCAACTGTTCAAAGGCGTTTGTGACAGGGCGCACAGCGGGATGCTCATCTCGGACAAGGTCTCGGATTACATGAACTTCCTTCTCGATCAAGTAAGATCAGTTTTTAGGTTTCTGTTTTGGTTTGTTGAAGAAGTTTTGAATGGTGTGCCCTATACCCTAATTGACTTGGATGGGCAAACATCGTGCAGCTGGCAGTGTACCTTGTGATATCTTGTTTATCAGTTGGGGTAATAGGGACCAAAAGAATGGAGGCATGGTCAACATCACAGTGGAGTAAGGCTGTCATTTCGGTATCAATGTCTGCTGCAACTTTCATTGTGATTGCAGCTTGTGGGCTTCTGTCAGGATACAAGCTCTGTAAGAGGATCATCTGGTGAACCTCTCACCCTTCACTAGTAATCTGTATCGGAGAGCTACTCGTAAATGAACAATCTCATCTGGCTTCATAAGTCCCCCTTTTCATGAAGTCCAAGCTCAAATATTTAAGTGTGACTTTGCTGAAATAATCTGCCCAATTTTGTCCTATGATTGGATATATTTTGGCCTATGATTTATTACAGTATGTATCTTTATGTGACCTAAACTCATTTTTATGCACCACCGAGCTCATCCAATACCTATGAGTGTCTAGAATTACTTTATCGGTCTATGCTTTACAGCCCCGCCAGTGTAAGCATGTTTGTTGCTTTACCGTGCCACTTATGATTCATCATAAATTATACTAGCAATGTGTTAGTTCTTGACAGGTTTCGCTTACATAACTAGTCTATATGAAATTTTGAATATTAAGTTGCTGTATGGGATTTTTCCCCTATCATATGTGTATGTATTTCAATTTGCAAACATCAATTGTAAACTATTTGGTCCACGAGACAAATAATCAATCACATCATATTTTTTTTTAAGCAATAGATAGCTTGTATTATCAAAACCAAAAGATAGCACTGTTTACACTTCAAGAAAAAACAAACGTTTAAAATTAAAACACTCTACATTCGCAGGCAACAAAGAAAGGGTCTTCCTGACCACCTCATGAGCCACCCGATTGTTCACATCATTGTTCGAATCAAATCGAAGAAAAATGATTAAAATTCTATTTTATTTCAATTCTCTAATTCAAAATAATTTATTTTGGATCTATTATGTGGCTCCTCTTCAACATAAAGAAAAGATAGTTAACTAAATGTAAAGGAAGTTACTATTTCTCGCCCTAAATATTTAAAATTTTCGCCTTAATTTGAAAAAACGGACACCTTTACCCTTAGCCCAATCTCTAACCTAAATTACCAAATAAAAAATCACACCGCCAAACCCAAACCCTTATACATGTTGTCGCCGATGCTCCCCGCCGCCGCTGTGGACGTCATCCCCACCCTCTCGATTCGGCAACGAGGTAGGTTGAAATCCCGTCTCCGTCGAGCTGCACACAGATCCATATTTCTAGCCGCCGGCGATGTGTTTTCGACCCGCCCCATTACCTACTCGTCGTCGTCGTCGGTAGGCTGGCTAGCCAGAGGAAGAAGCTGTGAGCGAAGCAGAGTGGTTGTGGTCGTCTGGCTGGCCAGATGAAGAAACAGAGGGCGGCGGCACCAATCTTCGAGGAGGAGAGCTAGAGCAGAGAGAGACAACGGCGGCGACATCCGGTGAGGCGAGCAGTAGCAGAAGGAGGCGGCGGCTCGTCGGTTTAGGGTGTAGGGCGATTAAGCTCGCCAATGTGAATGGGTTGATGTTATTTTTAATTGGGGCAAAATCGTTCGTTAGTAAAATTTAGGGCGATTTATTTAAAAATTTAGGGCGTTAAATAATGTGATATCGGAGTTGTTGGTGATATCGCAGTCGCGAAGAGTGTGGTGGTCTTGCAGCTCGGGCTCGCCGCCGTTGGATTGTACGATCAGCCTTTGAGAGTTGACTACCGTTGGATTGGATGTCGCCGGCGCAGACGGCGGCAAAGGAGTGGGAGGAGGGATTGAAGCCGGCGCCGGGGACGGGGATAGGGCAGGAGTCGGAATCGGGTGGTGGGGGTGGGGAGTGTTGCTGCGGTGGTAGGATTCTGTGGCGGCGGTGGAGGTTGGGTCGGGTAGGGGGTTTGTAGAAAAGAAATTAGGTTTTTTATTTTTTAATGAATCTAATAATGAGGTGGAAAATATAAAAGTTTTTTTATTTTTTAATAATTTTTTAGTTGCCACATCACTAAGTTAACGGTCAACTTTGAGAGTTGACTGCCACATCAGGCAAAGTTAACGGAGTTGGACGGAGAGTGACCAAACGTGAACGGTTTCAGTAAACTCAAGTACCACCAATGAATTTAAATATTTCGAGTGACCAAACTTGAACGTTTTTTGTAATCTCAGTGACCGACCATGCAATTAACCCATATTTCATATGACAACTTTGCTATAGTTTAGTTGGTTAGCAATTTTGACTCTCATTTGAAAAATCTGAGTTCAACTCTTAACAATGGAGATTTTTTTTAAATATATTTAAGAACTATATTACAAATTACACATTACAAATTCACCTCTAACTAAAATAGAGAGAAACAAGAATTAGGAAATGAAAAAAGTAGAAAAAATTATATTATATATTGTTATGAAAAGAACATTTCATTATAATTTGGTCTCCTCCAACATCTCATAAGCTAAAGGGAAGATGTACGATCACTCGCGCGGAGCTATGAGGCGCCCTACAGCGACTCCGAATGGCATGGGATGCAGGCTACAAAAAAGTCGAACTTCAGCTCGACTCCACGACGGCCGCTCACCTGCTGCTAGCTCTTGACAGCCCAGTCAATCATCAACATGCTAATCTCGTATTAGCATTCTGGGACTTGGTGTAACAGGGATTGGGATGTGAGAGTTCAGCATATCTATAGAGAGGCAAATTTCCTTGCGGATTGTTTAGACCCTGATTCTATCTCTACCCAACTCACCGATCCTGACATTGATCATTAGGTTTTGTATGACTTGGTTGGCAGATTTGTTGTCCGTTCGATTTCTTAATCAGAGGTAATGGTGTTTGCACCTTTTCATAAATAAATAAATAAATAAAAGCTAAAGTTTGATGGCTTTCAATATCTAAATTAATTTGCTTGGGCTGGAGAATTTCGGACAGTACCGACAAACTGACAAGGCTTGGCTTACTATGGTTAAGAAAGGCTTATTATATTCTCACCTCATGCTTAAGACACTTTTTTGGTGAAAGGGACTGAATTTGACCCACACTAGGTTATACTAACAACAAGATTCATTAAGGGTAAAAGGGTAAACTAACACAAAATAACAAATTAAAATTAAAAAAATAAAATTTCAATCACAGCCACACGTGCGCCATCTCCCTGTACAGCACGCCGGAGAACTCCCTCTTGAGGTCGGGGGCCGAGTAGGTCTCGATGAAGTCGGCGCTGAAGTAGAACTTGTTGACGAAGAGCTTGAGCTGCTGGTACCCTTGCCGGTCGGTGGCGTTGTGCTGGAGGAAGACGTGGTTGAGGACGAAGTCCGCGGCGGAGGACAGTTGGGAACGGGCGTAGTCGGCGCAGGTCCGGCAACCCACATCGCATCGTTTCGCGTCAGAGCTCCATCCTTGCCGCCGACTTTTACACGGGGTAGAAACAGGACAACGGAGTGGAATCCGAATCGCCGGGGACAACGCAGGAGATTTCTTCTTCTCCGATCTGCCTTGCATGTTCCTCGCGAGGCCGCCGCCGCTCTCTCTGCTTCGTCAATCCACCGTGGAATATAGCGCCTTCCGAAAGAAGTTTGTCCATTGCTCTGTCTTTTTCATAAATTTCTCGAGGAAGTTCCAGATTGTGAAGTTGCTTGCCCCGAATTTGATTATAAGCCTTCTTCTAGATCATAACAAGTTATATTGGTTAGGCTAAAAGAGGTTCTTGTTGGAGGTATTGATTGAACAAATTGCAGAGGAAGGAGGAAGAAGGTGGTTTGCAGAGCTGAGGAAGAATGAGAGAGAGCTCGTGGATATCATCAATTGGAAAATTACATATTCGGACTATATAGCAAGGGTAAAATACTAATTCGTACACAAATTAAATAAACATTACAAAGCAATCTAACAACCATATAAAAGTTGCATCAAGGTCCACAAATCTTCACCCTCAGACAACAGTTATGCAGAAAAAGCACAAACATACATAGTTCTAAAGCACACTATAAACCTCCTAATACAAATCATAAATGTGATGAAACATACCAGAAACCTCACAAACCAAATCACAGAATTTTCAAAACCAACCAGAAACCTTCTAATGCAAACCACAAAAGCAAACCAGAAACCTCCTAATGCATACCACAAATCTCCTAAAACAAACCAGAAACCTCGCAAAGCAAACCACAAAATTTTCGAAAGCACACCAGAAACTTCTTAATGCAAACCAGAAACGTCATAATGCAGACCAAAAATATATTAAAACAAACCAGAAACCTCACAAAGCAAACCACAGAATTTTCAAAAACACACCAAAAACCTCATAATGCAAACCACAAACACGTTAAAGCAAACTACAAAAACAAACCAGAAACCTCCTAATGCATACCACAAATCTCCTAAAACACACCAGAAACCCCTCAATGCAAACCACAAATTTTTTGAAAACAAACCAGAAACTTCTCAATACAAACCACAAACACGATAAAGCAAACCAGAAACTTCTTAATGCAAACCACAAACACGATAAAGCAAACCACAAAAGGCATACAAAAATATGAGAAACCAAACCATAAATCTCACAATCAGACTATAACATCCGGTGGTTGTTGGTCGTTGACCGGTCAACGAAGTTCGTTGACCGAACTCCGGTGACCGGATTCCGGCGCCGATAAGCATATTCCGGCCCCGATGACTAGATTCCGATGCCGGTAAGCATATTCCGACGCCGTTAAGCATATTCCGGCGACGGTGAGCATATTCCGATGACAAAATAGCATATTCCGGTGACCGGTGGCCGAATTACGGCGACCAAAAATTTGGGCAGAAAATAATAATTTTTTTTATTTGTATTTTTTTTATTTTTTATTTTTTATTTTTTTTATTATTTAAACAGATTTTCATAATGACAATTATACCCCTGCTTTGATTTTACACTAGGTCAACTCATCTAATAAAAAGTCATCATAATCCTAACTTCCTATTGGTTGGAGGCTAGTGTTGTTACAATAACAACACAAAGGGTGTTGTTATAGTATCTAGTCCTCCACACTATAGTCATGTACTACAGTACTAGTGATAAGTTATTCTTCACACTTCGTTTACTTTGTTTCGAGTCACAATTTATCTATTTTTTCCCTTTTAAAAAACATTTAGCTCTTTTATTTTATTTTTTAGTAATGTATTGTCAATTACTTAATTTTTACATGCTCCATACACTTAACTACTTACCGTTATTCTATTTTTCTTCTTCTTTTGTAATAGGATATTCGTCAGTAAATACTCCGTTTAATACACGTATATGTATCCATACTTATTTTATTCATTAAAAATTTATGTATTCGTATTGTCATACCATTTTATTTTCCGTACATTTGATGGTTCACATACATATTTTATGCATAACTTTCCCGTAACATATTTTACTAACTATGATTGTTACTATATAAATTGTTATATTTAATTGTTAATTAAAAATAGATGTTGCAACCATCAGGTTTACACCTAACCAATCCTACTTAGTATAGTTAGTAAATACTCCGTTTAATACACGTATATGTACCCGTACGTATTTTATCCATTTACAACTTTCGTATTCGTACTATTGTCAATCCGTTTCATTTTTTACCGTTCATTTGATGGCTCCCATACAAAACACGTATAAAAACCCGTATAACACATTTAATATCGGTATTTAATGCCTTAAATGGTCAACTTTACTATTATTTATATATTTATTTGTTTTTAAAATAATTTATTTTCATATATTTATGACTATTAACGTACTATTAAATGTAACATTAATTTAAAAACAAAGTAAAATAGCCGTACATATTTTATACGTAACATTCCCCTTACTACTTACTAACTATCCTACTTAGTCGATATTTGAAAATTAGCCACATGCAACCAAAAAAAAAAAAATAGCCACACGCTTCTAAGTCCATCAAAATTCAGAACCTCAGTGCTTATCACCAAAAAAAAAAAAAATCAGAACCTCAGTTTACTGAAACGACAATTTAATGGATTATTTATTTTTTGCTCCTGGGCTGAACTCTTAATCGGGCCAACGACCCGTCCAAGAAATGGGCTGGGGAGAACAACAAGAAATGGAAAACTAACTTCGAATTTGGGCTCAAATGTTTTGACAACGTGAACGCTATCAACTGCCAGCCAAGCCTGCCAAACGCCTGATGAGTGATGAAGACTCCGATGCCGTCGTCAATTGGCAACTCTTCCGCCGTCGAAATCGAGTCACACCTAACCCACACACCCACGCATTCTCGGCAACCCATCTCCATCGTTCTCCTGGTGGTGCGTGCCTCTTTTGCTTCTTGGAATAAGGGAATCCAGATTTCAATCTCAAGTTACGATTCTGATTCTCTCCAATTGTTTTTATATATTTGTGTTTCGTTAATCTAGGGTTTCCAATTGGTAGCAAAAGTTGAAAGGAGGAAAGATGGACATAATCTCCCAATTACAAGAGCAAGTAGACACAATCGCTTCTCTCGCATTCAACACGTTCGGAACGCTGCAGAGAGATGCTCCCCCGGTGCGCCTGTCGTCCAATTACCCCGAGCCACCGCTGCCGCCGGCCAACCCTGCGGAGGATATGGCGGAGCAGTCTAAGCAAATGAGCGTGGCTCTCGTCAAGGCTGCTAGGCGGGTAAAAAGACTCTTTCCCATCATGTTGTTGATGCTGTTTAGCTTAGCTGCAACGAGTTTGAAACTATGTTCATTTCTTCGTGTTGGGTTACGGCTGAAACTTTTTGGTTTGTGATTTAGTTTGATGCTCTGGTGACTGCACTTCCATTGTCAGAGGGTGGTGAAGAAGCTCAATTGAAAAGGATTGCTGAACTCCAGGTTTTGCAATGCTGCTTTGCTTTTTGGCCTTTTCCTTTTCCCTAATTGTTGTTTGTGCTTATTCGATTCGATTTCGACTCTTAGGCTGAGAATGATGCTGTAGGCCAAGAACTCCAGAAGCAACTGGAAGCGGCTGGTGAGTTTCACCTTGACTTGGTTGTCTTTTCACGCCACAATATTTGCATATTTTCCTCTTGGCATTTTTCCTAGTCCTCTTCTCTTTCGGATGGATAACCCATCTCCGGTGATTGATGTGAATGCAGAGAAAGAGCTGAAACAGGTGGTTGAGCTGTTTGCTCAGGCGACAGACAACTGCCTTAACTTGAAGAAACCAGATTAGCGAAATGTTGAGCCCACGAATGAGGGAATTCGTTTGTTTGGTTAGAAAAGGTTATGCTCTTGAGTTAGCAATTGGGTTGCGGACTCGCTGTACAGTTTAGCAAACGGCATGGGAGGTTGGTTTCAGAACCTCGTTCCAAAAAATTTGTCTCAAGTCTCGGATTTCTTCGCTGGTATCCAATCATCCATGTCTAATATAAGTTCTAAGGCATGTTTGTGGTTGTAGTAGTAGTAGTACATGTAATCTTCAAGCAAACAGCAGCTGGTCAGATGAAGGCAGAATCTAACCCAGATGTGCGTGCTTCTTCTGCTGCGGCTACTATCTTCACTAGAATTTAGTGGTATGAGTATTAACTATTAACCCATGCCCTTTGTACTCCTTGATGCTAGTTAGTGTCAATTCTGGTCCAGGTATCAATGTACTGATTGAATTGTTCGTAAGCAATGTTGCAGCTTGCGTATTGGATTGGATGACGAAGATAACACAAGTTACGACACAACGTATCAGTCACTTGCTTTCACACCACGCTCAACACCATAGCTGAACCTCGTTGAATCAGTTCAATCATCAATGTCGAAGGTGTGCAAAACAATGATGGCAGTACTAGAAATCTCCTTCAACATTTTGCCTGTGAGATCAAGAATAAGTAAATTACTAACGTTCAAGTACCTGCACGAGGCAGCAACTAGATTCCTTCCAACATCCAAGTATGAATGGAAGAAAAACACTGTAAAAAATTGTGTACATCTTGTAAAATAAGTCAGAACTCACCACTAAAGTTTGAAAAAAGTGGCGGAAAAAGCTCAACTTCCAACGGTGTCGTTTAATCGTTGAACCTTGGATTCCTGATGAACGAGAAGTGAAGCTTCGAGAAAGGTAACAAGAAAAGAAAATCCCGCACCGCCCACTCACAGACGCACACGTGACCCTCTCCCACCCTTCTTTCTCGCTCCTTCTTATTCTCTCCCTCTCTCTCTTTCTGCTCTTTTCCTCTCTTTTTTTCCCCCAAAATTTCATTTCCATTTCCCCTTTTTCTCTTCTCGAACCCACCAATTCTGCGCTCTCTCTCTCTCTTTCCCCACCTTATCATTTACTCCACCCCGAAACTTCTAGAAACAACAAAACAAACGCGACCCTCTCTCCTTCCTTCCTTTCTCTCTGTCTGAAATTTGGCAAGTGATTCATCACCTTGTCTATCCTTTCCCCCAACTGTTGCTTCTTCTTCTGGTTTCGATCTCCTCTTCCTGTTTGGTCGCCGAGAAAATTCCATGGTCAATTTGTTATTGCCGCACCAGCAAGGCTCCTCCTCTTTCTGCCTATTAAACGCAGCTGCTATCCGAAGATCTGAAGGATTAGGAAACCGACCTCCCCTGCCGCTCTTTTCCCTGCAAGAAAACTGCAATCAGTTCAATCTCTCGAGTTCTTATTTGGTAAAGTATTTTCAATTTCAATTTTCTTTTATGCAGTATCGTTTTTCTATTTTTATTTTTAATCAGTGAACGTTTTCTTTGATGTTTTTTAGGAATCCAGACGTTAATCGCTGCTCTCTTCAAATAAGAAAGTCGGTTTTAATTATATCTGATTCGTGGATCTGAGGCTCTGAAACTAATGCCGCCGTCGCCGGTCGAACCAAACGGGGAACCTGCAGCTGTTGCTGTTCCCGGCGGGACAGCAAGTGGCAGCGGCGGTAGCGGTGGAGGCGCCGGTGGAGGAACAGGAGGTACTGCAGATTCGCAGAGATCTCTTCCCACTCCTTTTCTCACCAAAACTTACCAGCTCGTGGACGATCCGGCCGTCGATGATATGATTTCGTGGAGCGATGACGGATCCGCGTTCATCGTCTGGCGCCCCGCCGAGTTCGCCAGAGACCTGCTGCCTAAGTACTTCAAACACAACAATTTCTCAAGCTTCGTTCGCCAGCTGAATACATACGTAAGCTCGCTGTCCCTTTCTTCCTCTGGAGCAGTTTTCTCCTTCTGTTTAAATACCCATGAGAGTAGCAAAATTCTGAATTGGCTTTTAGATTTGTAGGGATTCAGGAAAGTGGTGCCGGACCGATGGGAATTCGCCAACGATTGCTTCAAGAGAGGGGAGAAAGCTCTTCTTCGAGACATCCAGCGCCGTAAAATCGCCGTCGCTGCTGCTGCTGCCTCCCCGACCGCCGCTGTGACGGTGGCCGCAGTTCCGGTTAGGATGATCTCCCCTTCCAATTCCGGAGAGGAGCAGGTGATTTCATCCACTTCCTCCCCTGCCGCGAACGCAATCCTGCGGACGACGAGCTGCACGACTACGCCGGAGCTTCTAGAGGAGAACGAACGATTGAGGAAGGAGAACGCGCAGCTGAGCCAGGAGCTGACTCAATTGAGGGGCCTCTGCAACAATATTGTCTCGCTGATGACGAATTACGCCTCCTCCGGCCAGGCCAACGGCAGTGTGAGCGACAACAATCAAACCCCATCGGAAGGGAAGCCTCTGGATTTAATGCCCGCAACGACGGCAACGGCCGCGACGATGCCAGATGAGCCTGCTGTCGGTGGCGTGTCGAAGCTGGCAGATCCGAGCCCGATGCTGTTCGGAGTGTCGATCGGCGTCAAGCGGATGAGGAGAGATGAGGAAGAGACTGTGGCAGCGGCGGAGGACGAGGCTTTGGCTGAGGCAGAGGTGGAGGAAGGAGAAGACGACGAACGACGGGGGAGGAATCCGATGCGGCGAGAGGATAAGGAGGGAGGATCGGACGTGAAATCGGAGCCGTTGGATAGGAATAACACGGGAAGCTCTGATCATCATCAGGATTCATCGTGGTTGGAGCTGGGGAAATGAATCAAAACTGATCAATCATGGATTTTGGAGTTGGTTTCTCTCCCTTCCAGACGGCGCCGTTTCGGGATCGTCGTGGTGGAACGAACGAGGCTTCGAGCTGGTGAGGGAAGGCACGTGTTACGGATGGTCGACGCGTGTGAGGGGAAGATGATGAAGGCCGCACTCAGATCCGTTGTGGGTTTACTTCGAGAAGTTGCAGTTTGTCCGTTTTGGGGAAAAGTGGGGAAGGAAAGGGAAGTCGCCATCTGTGAACTGTGGAAGTGAGAATCACAGCTCGGTTAAAAGTTGGGGGGGACAAGATCGAGATTCAAAGGAGAAAGAATCTTTGTGGGGCTGCGGCCTGGGAAGAACATAATAGAGAAGCGTCGGCGCCGTTGCATGACTGCAAATGTAAAGTTTTCCTCGCTGGCCGTTGCCGGCCGGCGGGTGGTAAATTTTGTTTGTTTAGATGAGGCTTGATTGTGGGAATTAAGGGTGGCCAATTACGTGCTTAGAGCGGAAAGAACAGGGGAATGGGCTAAAAGGCTCGGAGTGGGTTGCCATGAAGTTATTATTGGTCAAGACTGCCTAATTGGAGCCTAATTGGAGAAAATTAAGTCTGTAATTTAATAATAACTGAAGGTTATAATAATATATAAATGTTATAAAAAAGAGCGGCATAGTCTGACACGGTTTAAAGTCCAAAATCGAGGGCTGCAGCCCTGGGTGGCAATTGATTGGCAAACCTCCTCCCTCAGGTGGCCGTGGGAGTAGGATCGATATGTGCTATAGTAGTTTGACCCTAATCTAATTATTCTGCAGCAAACAAGAGTTATCTTCTGCGGGTGTTCCGTTCTAGATAACCCATCGGCGACTGAAGTGGCCACCCTGAGGACGTAGGAATTGGTCGGGCGGGTTTTGTCAAACCCAAACTCGTGAGTTTATTTGGAAAAAAAAATTCGGGATAAAATTCGCTGAGTTTGAAAAACTCAAATCCAACCCGACCAGCTGGGTATCCGCGTGGATTTTTGCCGTAAAATATTTACAATAACAAGTTTCTTTCAAAATAAAAGTTTAACATCAATTTTCTCATACAAATTATTCATATAAAAAACACCAATCTAGAGCATACAAGCAAACCGCAAATGATCAATACAAATTGTTCAAAATTAAAGATAAACAACATGATTAATTGAAAGCTTCTTCCTCCTTGTCAACTAAGTTTCTTCACTCTACACTCCATAATATCAACTTCATTCTAAACAATTAGAAAGAACAAAATATACATGTCTCCACAAACATAAAGAATATTAGTTGTTTAAGGAAGATATATTGGTTAGAATATTAAATATACCGGGAAAGTAATTATATGTGTGTGGGCGGGTACGCATGGGGGCGGGTTTACTTAAATTCAAACCCAGCCCGGTGAATAGTGTAGCGTGTTTAAACCCGAACCCGGCCCAAAATCTGTCAAAATGAATTTTACTCGCGTTGACTGGGTTGGGTCGGGTGGGTACCCGTGGGTTCGGGTTTTGTTGCCATCCCTACGAAGACGTGGTTAAGAGAATGCTCCTATTTTCTCTTCGTCAATCGGTGGCATCCTCTGAAAAGCATTCGTTATCGCTCACAACTCTATTGTGTCGAGTCCTGCGATCCACTTCATACTATCGTCCCTCAGATCTTTCCAAATAGTCGTTGTATTTGTTTTGACCAACATGATACAGTCAACATTAATTTTGATCAGACCCGACTTTAAAATTGTTTCATGGTACCCTTCTCTTTTCGCAACTATTAGATAGGTACATCCTTCCAAGTCTCCTAATGGTCGTTTGGCAGTGAAAATTTGGAAGCATAAGAATTAACTTAAATTTTTACGTTGTAGAGAATTTTAGAATTGTTAAGTGAAAATTGGCTCATGTAAGGGATGGATTTATGAATGTGGCAATTGATGATGTGGGAGCTTATTAAAATACCAACATACCCTTTTCTTTGTGATAGAAGAGGAAAATGATGGAAAGGAAAGAAAAGGAATTAGATGAGAAAAAAAAATGAGAGAAAGACAGAGCACACGAGGTGGTTGTAATTATAATTTTCACTTATGTGGGATGTGACATTAAAATACCAACATACCCTTTTCTTTGTGATAGAAGAGGAAAATGATGGAAAGGAAAGAAAAGGAATTAGATGAGAAAAAAAATGAGAGAAAGACAGAGCACACGAGGTGGTTGTAATTATAATTTTCACTTACAGCCTGTTTGGAACCATAAAATTTATGGGAAATGGAATTCCATTTCCTACTTTTGAATCAATTCTTATGTTTGGATGGTAAATTTAGTTGGAAGTGGAAATCATTTCTGCCAAAACTCTGGAAATTGAAATCCGACTGAAATTGGTCGGACTTGTCCACAAAAGCATAAGAATTTGTGGGACCCACTGCTTTAATGATGTTTAAGTCACAAAAAGTTTGCAATTTCGTTTCTTTTCTCTCTCAAGCAGGAACTTTATGGGACCCACAACTCAAACTTTTACTTATAAATATAACTTGCAAAAAAAAAATATAATTCATTTCCTATATTGATGGAATTGTACCAAACACAAGAATTTGAATTGGAATTCCAAAAATATTAGAAATGGAAATGAAATTCCATTTCTAATTCTTTTGGAATTCTTTCCAAACAGGCTGTTATGTGGGATGTGACCCAAATTATCACATCCCAATTATCACATTACTTTTGTCCAGTTAAATATGAGATTTTTCACAATTGCCATATCTTGTAGTGAATAACAAACGACACGATATTTTACGTAGTTTCGCCATTCAGTTTTTCATGGCCTAAGCAGCCGAAGGTTAGGGTTATACTTATATTAGTAGCCTAATTACAAACTAATTACGAGTCCGTTTATTATCAGGACGTAGAACAATCTCCGGTATATTTACAAATCCATCCATCCTTGGCAAAACTGGATTCGGAATCTACACCAATATATAAAGAATTACGCCGCTCTCCCCACAGTATCCAACTAGTTAGCACAGCAACTTGGGAAGACGCAAAAAACGACGGGCAGATAAAAGGAAGGGGAAATATGTCGAAATTCAGCGGTACTCCACGTCGTAGCAGCGGTGGCGGTTCTTCCGCGAAAATATTATGGACCGTCGTGGTTATTGCGGCGGTAATTCTCTGCTTCATGTCGACATCCGCGGCCGCGAGATCCTTCGGCTGGGGCAGCAGCAGGGGAAGTAGCATAGGCGGCAGGGGAAGATTTAGAGGAGCGGCGGGGGGCGGTGGTGGTCTCCTAGCTCTCCCGTTATTAATGGCAACTTTGGTCTTTTTGTTTCTGCTCTGTGGGATGTGAATGTGATACTAATTATAGCGGATTAATTTAATAGCTAGTTTAATTCCCCCTTCTGCTGATTATTATGATTATCCATTATCAATTGCGTATTTGCGTACAACAAAAATGTAAGACTTGCTATCTCCCGGCGGACCGTGGTATAAAGTAGGCACGCTGGTGCACAAACTTCAGCTAGATGGGCGGGCCTTGTGTAGGGGAACGAGTTGTGAGGCCCATCTAGTTCGCTAGGCCTGTCCATTGGATTGTTTTTGACGAATGCGATGGCTTGACTGGGCTGAAAGATCAAACAAAGCAGTAGGTAAATCAGGACAGCGTAAGGTTGTACATACCACACCATGGACAGCCCGACTCGTTTCTCGAGGTGTGTTAACTAAATTCACACGGGGTAAATGAGAAAGGAGCGAGCACATTTCTCGGAGAAGAGCCAGCAAATGAACATTATTATTGAGCGAGTGCCCAATCAACATGTAATTATGAAATGTAGGGCACATATCTTGAGTTTTGTATTCAATCATTTTGATTTAACGACATTTGGATCATCATAGGCTTTAGCACGCAAACTCCGGACCTTTGGCTTTGGCAATGTCGAATTACTTTAGCTTCTAGCACATCCATTATTTATTGTGCTCTTTGAAATTTGGTGATTTTTTATATTCGATGTCTTAAATTGTTAGTAAATTGGGTTGCTCGTAACACTCATTTCGAAAAGATCGAGAAAATATATTGGTGTTGGTGATCTGTCATCTTACCTGCTGTATTGAGATATGGAATAAGAGATTCAATCTTCTTGTGGAAGAAGAAAAAAAAATAGCTAGGCTTTAGCACTATAGCAACTAATTGAAGAACCCAAAGCTTGAGTTTTACATTATTCAATCAATAACTTTATAGTTCTCAGCAGCAGAGTGCTGCGATATACAAGGAACAGAAAGTGAGTGAATTAAGGAACTGCCAAACAGTGGGCAACGTTCCATTACTCAACAACTAACAACTAGAGAGAAACTTCAGGAGCAAGATCCTCTTCACGCCCCCGCAAGTGTAGGCTCGGTGAGACGAAACTTGGGAGTGCGATTAATAAGATAACACGCCGTGTCAAAGGCAAGAGGCCAATATTTTTGAGGGACATTAGATTGATAGAGAAGAGCAAGGCCATTATTGACAATATGGCGATGCTTACGTTCCGCACATCCATTTTGTTCGGGAGTGTAAGGGCAGGAAGAACGATGAGCAATACCGTGTTTAGCGAGATATGTAGATAAAGCCTGATATTCACCGCCCCAATCTGATTGGAAGGTTTTGATGGGAAGACCAAAAAAATTTTCGACCAATTGGCGGAACTGAATAAAGACACTGAGCAGCTGAGACTTATAGCGTATAAAATAGATCCAGGAGAATTTGCTATAATGATCATAGAATAGAATATAATAGGATTGCTCATCGTAAGATAAAATAGGGGCAGGACCCCATACATCACTACAAACGAGTTCAAGAGGTGCAGAGGCTTGAAATGTGGAGGAAGAGAAGGGAAGCTTGTGAATCTTACTAACAGCACAACCATGACACAAAGAAGGAGGAGAGGAAACAAATTTTATTTGATGCTGATGAAGAGCGTGCTTGACAGCCCTTTCATTAGCGTGACCAAGACGACGATGCCAAACATCAAGAGAAGCCGCGCAAGCAATGGGAGAAAGATGACGGGAAATATGCAACGGGAGAGTATAGAGACCATCCACCGCATAGCCGCGATAAAGTTCATGCCCCGTGCGTCGATCCTTGATAAGAAAAAGAGAATCAAAAAATTCGATAGAAATGGGATTAGATCGAGTAAGAGAACTGATAGAGAGTAAATTGTAGGGGGCATGACGAACATGAAGAATATTATCCAATGAGATTTGGGTGTCCGATAAAGAGGTGACAGAGGAGCCAAAATTGGAGATAGGGAGAGATTTACCGTTGCCAAAAGTGACCTGATCAGTCCCATTATACTCAGTATGATGAGCAAGATTGTCTAGATCGGAGGTAAGGTGATGATTGGTGCCGGAATCGAGAAGCCACTGTTGCGGATTAAAAGCAGGACTAGGAGAGGAAGAGAACATTGTGTGTGGGCTGTAGGAGGGAACAGGGGCAGCATAATGGACGGGCTGGGCCGATTTTGTGGGCTGATGGAGGGCTGGGCTTGGGCAATTGGGTTTGATGTGGCCCTTGCCACCACAATTGTGGCAAACCACCATTGGGCTAGTGGGCCGAGGCCCAAGCACTCCCCCAGCATTGTGTGACCTGCCAACAACAGAGGGATTAAAAAAATGGGGGTTAGAAAAGCCACGGCCGCCGCGGAAAGAACCACGGCCGCGACCACGGCCTCCTCTGCCACGGTAACCAACGAAGCTGGAGAAGAAGGCAGCCGGTGATGGTGACTCTGTACGCGAGGAGTAGCGCTGGATTTGAATTTCCTCGCTGAGAAGGAGGGAGGAAAGATCTTCAAAGCTGATCGGTGCCATTCGAGCTTCAATGTGACGAACAAACGGGCGATAATCTTCACCCAGGCCATCAAGAATCCAGCCGGTGAGATCATCGGGCTTGACGGGAGAGCCTAGAGCCGCCAATTGATCGGATTTGGACTTGGCATCCTGAAGGTAATCATGGATTGAGGACTCGCCCCGACGAATGGTTTGCAATTGTTTGGCGAGCTGCCGAACCTGAACAGCCGAGCCAGAGGCATAAACAGTGGCCAGCGCCGTCCACGCATCGAAGGCGGTGACCTTGTTGACGACGTTGGGCAGCACGGCTTCAGAAAGGGAAAGGTTGATCCAGGTGAGAACGTACTGGTCACGGTCGTACCAATTCCAGTAGGCAGGATTTGGTTTGCCGTCGACGAGTTGGGGCGGAGCAGGGAGTGAGCCATCGACGTGGCCCATCAAACGGTGGCACCGAAGGAGCGGGGTAATCTGAGCGTGCCACAAGAGATAATTCGTCGGGGTGAGTTTTACGGTAAGTTGTGGGTTGGCCGGAAGAGATAACGACGACATCGGCATGGTGGTGGAATCAATGGCGGCAGATGTGGTAGAGATGGAGGATGATTCAGTGGTCATTTTGGGAGAAGAAAATAGGAATAAAGAAGACGATGATAAGAAGAGCAGCAGGAAGAAGAAGGGAAGAAATTCACTCGTTAGAGTATTGAAGGCTCTGATACCATGAAGAACCCAAAGCTTGAGTTTTACATTATTCAATCAATAACTTTATAGTTCTCAGCAGCAGAGTGCTGCGATATACAAGGAACAGAAAGTGAGTGAATTAAGGAACTGCCAAACAGTGGGCAACGTTCCATTACTCAACAACTAACAACTAGAGAGAAACTTCAGGAGCAAGATCCTCTTCACTAATATGTCAATCTTGGCTTGACATATTTCATGTATTGATGGCAACTGCCGACATCAAATACGGGTCAGGACGGGTAATACCTGTACGTCGGGTCGGGCAAGTCTACAGTATCCTAATATATCATTTGAAGAAAATGTGTATTTTTTAGTGTAAAATTAGGGGAATTAGTTCATAAATGAAAGATAATAATAATGATGATGATGGGTAAATTAAATGAGCCCAATTGGTTGCAAGATGGTAGCTTACACTTGTCTAAAGTAACATTCGGTGAAAATGTGAGTTAAGATAAATCTAAATAAGAAAACATAAGAATAGTTATTAAGGCAAACGAGTTAGGATGGGTTAAAACAAAGCGAGACCAATCAATAATAATTCCCATATCCCAACTTAGCTATTGTTGATGTAATATTATCTAGCCAATACAGGACATGTCAGATAATACCAGAAGAATACCAGAAGAACGAGTGCAAATTGTCCTCAATAATTTCACGCCCTCGCAATGCATATGGAAAATGTGCATCATCCACACTATATAAAAGTGGATCTCTTTGTTGACACTTGAATATTCAATGACATTTTAAATTTCATGCCCGGATATTGGCGATTGGCGAACAATGTGGTGCTCCTCCGCTGGGGGATTTGGAGAAAAGAGAGCGTAAATTATTTGAATAAGAGGCTGCAGTTTTTCGACTTTCAATTCACCGGCCGGACGGAAATGGATTTCAGGCCCACAGCGCCATCACAAAAGTTCCCAAGTGACAGCCCAAGAGAGGGCCCAGGCCAAGAGAGATTCCCGGCCGCTGTAGCTCCCTCTCAACCCAATTCAGAATCCAGAAATTGGCGCCGATTGGATTGGACCACAAATTTGGCATGGTGTAAAGCGTAAAAGAAAGAATATTACACTAAAGTAACCAAAAAATGAGGTTAGAATTTCGTGTTTTACGGGGAAAAAGCGGTGCATAAAAGAAAGCAAATCCAGCCACAAACCGGAGAAATTCAAGAAGGGAGAGCACTGCACAGCAAAGGTGCAAGTGAAGGCTGCTATCTTTGATATCAGATGAGAAAGTTTGGTTCATTGGCATCATTACTAGTGCAGAGACAACAAAAGCCAAAAATTGGTGAATTTTATAGAATGGATTTTCAACTTAATCCTTTTACTACAATTTATTTTAATATAAGCAGGAAATAGATTTATTTTAATCATTGATACTTAAGTGATTCAAATATGGACTCTCTAGATTGAAGGGCTTGGAGGATAAAGTTGAGTCATTACTCTTCTTCTTCATTTTCGATACTAAGATTTAGCCTAGCTCATTTCCCCCACAATCCGTCATTTCAATATAACCTCATACACGTTTTAAATTATCTGTATGCTTTAAATGAGAATCTTTATATGTGTTCTCATATTTCACCGACCTAACGTTACACCAAAAAAAAAAAAAAACTAAAACACCGATACATTCGATGAGGATGAGAAACTCTGACCAACAAATACACATGATAGTAGGGGAAAAATTCCTCAATTACACCTTATTCGCTTGACACTGTAACGAAACTGCTCCAAACCCTTGTATATTGGGAATTCTTTTGCAAAATGTTATATTGTGTAAATTTATTTAATTAGCCCTTCTATTTTGGGATTTTTCCCCATGATAGTGTGATCCTAACTTCCCAAGGTTGTAGAATGTAGAGGGGCTTTTACGTAGGGAATTTTGTCTTATTTACAACAGTGCAGGGATCATAATTCATAACAACAAATTAATTTGATGGAAATTAAAAAGGCTATAATTATTAAGTAACTAATCATACATACATATCATCTCTCTCTCCATATAAACAAAGCAAAAACCAAAAAGGTGGAGACGAACGAAGAAGCTAGATCTCGATCGTTATAGCTCGCGGTTGACCAGCAATCGTTACCGGACTTCATTAATTATTAATCCTGTCGTGATGATGATCGTCCTCATCTCATCTGGCAAGCAGAGGGAACCATCGTTCTTGGAGGGAAGACTGGTAAGAGATCATATACAAAAGGAAGACGAGCAGCAGCGCAACTCCCCACGGTGACCCGCCGGCGCGGTGGAGGGAGTCCCTCTCCGGCAACGGGATGTACAGAGAGAAACCCCCGCCACCACCACCGTTGTTGTTATTATCATTAGCGCCGGCGGAGAGGCAGTGGACGAGGAGCAGCAAGAGGAGCGGGGAGAGGATGAGGAAAAGCTTGAGTTGGTTCATCAGGTCCTCGAAAGCGGACTCGTAGTTGATGTACCAGGAGAAGCCCAGGACGAAGAAGAGGATGGCGATGAAGAAGAAGAGGTGGAGCGGCATGGAGAAGCTGGAGAGGCACTCCCAGTAGTAGGAGTAGGAGGAGTAGTAGTTGTTGTGGTGGTTGTTGTAGTATGTCGCCATGGCAGCTGTGGGAGGATGATGATTTGGTGATCGGTTTTGGGTTTAAGGGTTGATTTGGTTTGGTTGGGTAATTAGGAGGAGATGGGTTTGATGTGATGATGGAGAGAGGGGATTTTGTGGGTTGGTTTTTAGAGAGAAGGTGCTATGTTTTGTGGTTGAGAATGGAGGTGGAGGTGGAGCCGTGGAGGTGTTTTTATAGAGAGGAAGTTTACTGTTTAAGACAGGTAGGGAAATGTCATTGATTGTTTAATTAAGGATTCTAGTACCATCTTTTGGGGCAAAGTGGGGTGGGTCCCACATAACAAATATTATGAAGATTTCAATTGGGTTTATTAATTAGCAGCATTGGAAATTTGAATGAGGGAGGTGATCTGTAGTAGGGATGGCAATGGGTCGGGTTGGGTCGGGTTTTGCCAAACCCAAACCCAAACCCATGGGTTTATCTTTGAAAAAAACCCGGGGTAAAACCCACTGGGTTTGAAAAACTCAAACCCAACCCAACCCGTTGGGTATCCGCGGGTTCATGGGTACCCACGGGTTTTGTCGTAAAAAATTTACAATTACAAGTTCTTATCAAAATTAAAGTCAAATATCAATCTCTCAATACAAATTATCCATATATAAAACACCATTCTAGAAAATTCAAGCAAATCACAAATTAACTATACAAATTGTTCAACACCAATCTAGAAAACTCAAAAAAATTGAAGCAAATCACAAATTTTCCATAAATAACATGTTTAATTGAAAGCTTCTTCCTTTCAATTAAGTTTCTTTGCTCTCCACTCCATAACATCAACTTGATTCTACACAATTAAAAAGAAAAAAATTAGACATGTCTCCACAAACATAAATAAGATTAGTTGTTTAGAATATTAAATATACCGAAAAAATTAATTATATGGGTGGGCGGGTACCCACGGGCCGGGTTTACCTAAACCCAAATCCAACCCAACCCGTTGAATAGTGAACAGGTTTAAACCCAAACCCGGCCCAAAACCCGTCAACACGGATTTTACCCGCGTTGACCGGGTTGGGTCGGGTGGGTACCCGTGGGTTCGGGTTTTGTTGCCATCCCTAATCTGTAGTAACTGCGTCTGCGAGAATTGAGGAAAGGTAGTGAATGTATATTGTCTATTTTATTTTATTTTTAAATTTGTAACAACTTTTTTTATATGTATTTCAAAATTGAGAAGGGATATTATCCTCCTGGTTTCGACCTAACTTTATTATTGATTATAGACACTTTATTAAAAAGTGATAAGTTACATAACCATTGCAGCAATCAGTGACGGAGCCCATATTAAGTTTAGGGAAGATTGTAATCCTCTTCAATTTTGAAATGTAGATAAATTTACATGTAAAATATGAAACTAAGTCTAAAAATTGATTAGTAAGTAATGTACATGATTCAAATCACTCAATATTTTTTTTAGCCACACTCATTCAAATTTATGGTTTAGTCATTAACAACAACCAATTAAGTGGGCAAGAGTTGGGTTCCGTGTGATTGTGAAATAAGTGTGTTAATGGAGTCCCACATCCACTGACGGTGGAAAGGCAGCTAAAGCAAAAGCATATTATGATCAATGGATCAAGATTTTCTGACCAAGCTTGATGCGGCTCTCCCTCTCTCTCTCTCTCTCTCTAATTAAAGAAAGTCTCTTCCTTCCATTTCATAAAAATACAAAGGAAGGTAGGGTGGGAGAAAAGCTAAAGTGGATATCCAATTCACAATTAGGTAATTTGTTTCGTGTAAAGTACATGTAATTCGGTGTGTTATGTATTAGGCGAAGATGTTGATCGTCAGTGAGCTGAAGGTTAGATGTAGTTAATTTAGCTTACTTAGGTATCCTTTTCGGAGTCTACTTGGAAAAACTATGTTGAAGAGTGAAGACTACTAGAAAAGTAGAAAGTTGGTAAAAGCCCGAAATTTTGGCGGAAAAATGAATGGCTGGGAGAAAACGAGGCGGAAAAGTGAGTGAAATTATTTGAAGAAAAGGACAAAAGAGGAGACTGGGGTTTTCTCGACTGTCCACTCACCGGCCAAAGGGAAGACGCCACGCCATCTGCGCCGGTTACTGCACCTGGGCCTCACTTCCCAAACCCAATCACAGTCCGCCAAGTGGCGCCGACCATTGCACCCCAACCAACGTGGGATTATGCAAACACCAAATAAAATAACACCACACAAGGACAGAATTATGTGTTTATTAAACCAGAATTTCGTGCTTTGGGCAGAAAGTGAAGCAGAAAAAAAAAAGAGGAGAAAGGAAGGAACCCTCTAAAATTTATAAACAATTTGGGGAATAATATACAACAACCGGCGCCGGCGCCGGGAGGAATAATGCGGGAGAGTAAATTAACTAATTAAGGACGTGAAGCAAAGGAAAGCAAGCAGTACAGTGGTGCAGACTGTCGAATTTTGTCTACACGCTTTCAACCTTTCTTCAACCGATCGTTTGATTCGAAAGATCAAAAAAGCACAGCCAAGCCAACAAAAGCAAAAGTGGAGAAGGAAAGGCAAGAAAGAGCGGGGAAAAGGAGGAAATGGCAGCAAGCAACCCAACTGTTTTTCCTTCTTGCTTAAGCTCTGCTAGCTCGCCATATTTCAAGTCTGGGAATCCGGCCATGTTAGCAACACATATAGTCGAATTGCAGGCCTGAATTTTCATTTTATTATGTGATTTTTTTTAGAAGAATTTTTTTTTATGAATGGCTACGATTTATTTCATCAAAAGGAGTTTACTGTAGACAACATCCTTTGCCACTAGGTATACACTATAACGTCAAAATCAATAGCTACTATACCCTATCCTTAGCCAAAAACAGAGACAAACTTCAAACAACCCGATCACGAGAAGATTTCCAGCTGGAAGAATTTCCCTTTTCTTCTGGTTATTATGGTTGAAGGAAAAATAGAACTCATGTAATGAAGAAGACAATACTTTCATTGTGAAATTGTCTCGCAGATTGATCGTGAGACTAAATTTTTGCCAAAGACCGTAAAAAATTCTATGTAAGAATCATAATAAAATTACATGATCATGAATAATATGCAGTAGAAACTATAACAAGATCTGCTCGTATGATACAGTATAAAAAAAATAAAGGTCTAACTAGTTCAAACATATTGCTAATTATATATACTTTATAAGATGTTTTACAAAAACCGTAAAACCTCGATAATTTAAATCCTTAATTGAGAACCACTAAGCTTGGGTGCAAGCACAAACATCTAGAATTCCTTGAACAAAATAATTGAGAAGAAGATTGATGAGTTTCATTTCACTCCTGAAATTATTATTAATTTAGAAGAAATTTCCAAAAAGTAGGATCATCACTTAAGCACTTAGTCCCCCTTATTGTTCTATGAGCAAACGCTTTCAAATAAAAATAATAATTAATAGTAACAAGTTTGTATCATCTCACAATCATCAAGGAGTAAATGACTAAACAATTTCAAGCAGGGGCGGAGTTACATGTAATTTAGGGTGGGCTCCGGCCTCCGGGATTGGTTCCGGCCCCTAGGATTTTAAGGATATTTAGTACAAATTGTATAAGTAGACTTGTTTTGTAAATTTTGTTGTGTATTAGTCATGTGGTTTAATGGTAGCTAAGCCTAACTTGTGTTTTAAAGTACGTACATGGGTTCCATCCACCTTAATCACATACATTTTGTTTAATTATTTTCGGCCCCTGGTCTCGAAATCCTGGCTCGATCCACCTTAATCACATACATTCTGTTTAATTATTTTCGGTCCCCGATCTCGAAATCCTGGCTCCGCCTCTGATTTCAAGTTAAATCAAAGGAAGAAAAATCATTAAATAACAAGTTACAATATGGACTAATCCCTTTATTTTGTTGAGTGGAAATCATTCTCTCTATAGGATTAAGAGGTAGGAAAACTTTTAGATAAATCTGTAAGAAGAGGAGAAACTTAGCTCTAATATTAGAATTTTTTATGAAACTAATAAACAACTGTTGTGTCGATTTATCATCAAAGCCAATTTCATTCAAGATATAACAAATGGCCAATACTATGGTGCCGCCGTAAAAATTGCGGTACCGGTGACGCTGATTATGATTGGTCCACGTGAAACTTATATGGCATGTCCGGGTTGTTTGATTAATTTCAATCAAACCCAAGTGGCCCGTCAGAAATGGCCCAAACGGCCTGTCCCCATATAACGGTACAAGGATTCCCGTTTGTTTTCATTTTTCTTTCTGTTTAACTAATTAAATTGAAAATCATGTAACTCTTTTCAGCAAAATCAGAAACAGTAAATCAGTGACGGACTGATGGTTACCAAACGAACCAGGAGCACAGTCCATTGATTGATCTCCCTGTCGGCGGCCGCTACATAATCACTCCCGGCGACTTGTATAACAGAGGCAAATCCCTGACTGCTCCATCCCACATTAATTCTGTATAACAGAGGCTAAGGAATCCGCGTCTTCCTCGGCCTCTGTCTCCGTGGAATAGCAGTGCCGCCAATAGCCAAAGTACCAGACTATCGCAATCAAAGAAGAAGAGATTCGCCTCCATCAGTGCCGGCTGCCTCGCTTTGCGCCGTCCCTGTTGGAATCATCACAACCAAGTTCTAGGTATTGAGCGAAGTTGTCCACCAAATGCAAAGGCTTCCAGGTAATTGGATAAATCTTTATTTGTGGAGGTATGCATGTTGTTTCGGTTCCTTTTTGTTGTTGTTCATTTGTCATCCTGAGATCGAGCAGCAGGGGAATAGATGCTCTGACCATTAGTTTATGAGAAGGGCCTGCCTTCTTGGGTTGGATTCCCGAATAAGAAACCGTGCCTCTGGTTGGGGAGAGTATAAGGAAATCAATGAGAAACTTGTGCAAGCAGGGGATTTACACTTACTTGCTGCTGCTCGATTGCCAATAAGAAAAAAGAATTAACACACACATGCTTGCCTTCACCGAAAGGGGCATACTCAGCTGCGATAAGGATTAGCAAATTCCAAGCCTTGTCCAAGTG